GTGTGTGTGTTTATATATGTATAAAAACAGCCATTTTTCATTATTCTGAGATACACACTGTAAAAAAAAATCTGTTGTTTTTTTTTCTGGCAGCTGGGGTGCTAGAATAAAAAACTTCGAAATAACGGCCGTTGAATTTTAGAAATGTTGTGATAAAGTACATCCAGGCGGTTGTTATTGCAGAATTTACAGCCAGACAGGTTACAAACAACGCAATAAGTATTTTTTGAATATCTCTAAATCAAAATTTTTTTTGTTCCATCTATTTTTAGTCACAATTGTCAGATTTTACTGGTTAAAGGCTTAAATGAGCGGTAATACTTTTAATATGTCTGTTGTTCACAAAACATGCTTTTCCACCAGTAATACCAGTGCTCAGCATAATTAAGTACTCCCCATTTTGAAAATGAATATTTTATCCATTTCTCAGTGCATTTGAACAAAACAGGTTTATTAAACAGATAAATTTATTAAAATAATATTTTAGCCACCAAACATATTTAGAAACTGAAAGATAATACAATTAAATTCTATTTTACAAAAAATGATTGCAAACTACAAAAATTCTACAAAACTTTTAAATGTTTTGCTTCTCTTGATTTTTCACTTTTTAAATTTTGTATTTAATATTTTTCTATAATATATCAATTTGGGTGTGCTAGTTTTTAGACCATTGTCGTAAGATATTTTGTCAGATTAGTCCCAGAATTGGCTTCAGTACTGACTAATCTAATGTATATGCACAAATTTAATATTGTTTAGCTTCCTATAAAAAATCTGAATTTTAAAGATAGATTTGTGAGGGGTGTACTTATAAATGCTGAGCACGGTAAATCTGGAAAGAAATTCTTCAATATCTTTATGGTTGTCTACACTCTACAGCATTTTTCAATGTTTTGTGCTTGAATTTCAGGCCTTAACTTCAGTCTGTGTTTGGCCTCCATTGCTGTGCCAGTAATGTATTTTCATGACACAGGATATTAGTGGATTCTTGGGCAGAGATGGGAAGGCCCTTAGTTCTGGCTCTGGAGGTTCACACGATCCCCTGAATATTTCTTCAGTTTTTCCACTGAATTCGGGGAAAGTAAAAGAACTGACGCCAATGAAACAAGAGCCATCAAGCCTCTTACATTGCTTGAACAACTCTTCTGACTTGCAGAGAACTGCCACTGTGAAAAAAATCACACAGCATGAGGAGGTAAAACACTTAAGCTGTAACAGAAGACACTGCTGGTCTAAAACTAAAAATGCCTATAGAGACAAGAGAGGGCAGTTAAATCCAGATGCTAAGTCAAAATCTTTCTTACACTGATTGAGTTTATTTCTCACAATTTGGTTGTTTCTCCTCATAAATTTTATAAATCTAACAATTACTACTCTTTTCTCAGAATTGGGAGTTTTCAGCTTGCAATTTTTATTTAGTTTACCTCATAAATATGTACGGTATAACTCAAAGTAACTCGAAAGTAACTCAAAGATCCACTCGTTACAACCGAGGTCTGCAGAAGAGCATGTCTAAATGCACAGCACATCCAACATTGAGGCGGATGCGCAACAGCAGCAGAAGACCACACAGGGTGCCACTCCTGTTAGCTAAGAACAGCAAAGTGAGGCTACAATTTGCACAGGCTCACCAAAATTGGACAATAGAACAATGGAAATTGGAGATTTCTGCTGCAACATTTGTATGGTAGGGTCAAAATTTGGCATCAAGATCATGAAAGCATGGATCCATCCTGCCTTGTATTAATGGTTCAGTTGACAAATTTGCAGCAACTGCGTGATGCTATCATGTCAATATGGACCAAAATCTCTGAGGAATATTTCCTGCGCCTTGTTGAATCTATGCCACAAAGGATTAAAGCAGCTCTGATTCGGTCCAAAACTGTGATAGTAAGGTTTGCCTAATAAAGTGGCTAAAATACCACTGAAAATTGATTAGTAATGCCTTACACTACTGCCTTTAAGCAAAAAGTAATTAGATACTGTAAAGCATTACTTTTCTAACGTCAACACTGCAAATTTCAACACAGATTTAGGTGCTTCATTTCAGTGCCACTTGAGCTGTCAAATGGAACAGGAAATAGAGGTCTGAGCTGTGAAACGAGTAGTCACTAAATGACCCATTTCTACTGTTGTTCTGCAGCAAAAACAAGCTTTCGCTTTATTTTGCAGCGTGTTTGGTTATTTCAGGAAAGAGGAAATGATTCTGTCCCATGTGCTCTCTCGGTTTGAATGATTTAGACCGGACTGTGGGATAATTGCTTTAACAGCTGACTACTGGGTGGAACTGAACGCAAATGGGCCCTTAAACCACATGTTGTTGGATTATGTGTATTACACTTGCTGGCTTATAACTCTGAATCCGTACTTTTAATTTTCTTTTTTTTTTACATTACAATTTCAGCACAGCACAGTAAAGCTATGTAGAGAATCATCTGATAAGAAGTTTCCAAACAACATAGTGTCAAAATGGAAATCATATACACCCTGTAAATAAAGTAACATCCAAAACCAAACCTAAGATTACACGCATAGCTCTTACTATAATTGTATGTGTCCCAGAGAACATCATGAAAGGGCATGATGAAGCGAGAATGAGTGGTTAAAAAGCTGTTGTTGTGTTAAATACAGGTCTCTTCTACACTAAGAGGTGAAATTAGAGGGTTAAGTGATGTTTTTGTTTAGCGATAAGTAATCTGATGGTGTTTTTTCATCAAAGGAAGTGTGCAACCTGTGAGCACATGTACTGAAGAATTAAGGCTCTCTGTGCTTATGTCTTAAGACAGGAGATCATAAAGATATATTAAAGCCAGCTGTGTGCTCAGCCAGCTCACCCAGATCTGACAAACACACACTCTCTCACACACACATAAAGAAAGAAAAATCTAGTAAAAGAGGGATGCCACATCTGGAAACATACATAAACTCACCAGCTGATACAGAGTCTGCTAGAGTAGAAAAAGTATAGTTCATGAAGTGCCGAGTGGACTCAAAGAAACTAGTAGATAAAACTGTCAGTCGATGTATTTTTGTAGGGTAGGGATTTTTCAGTCTCTTATTTGTGCATGTTATCTTAGAGGACTTATCATGCCCCCTTTTCATTCTTATTCATTTCGGCTTAGTCCCTTTATTAATTAAGGGTCGCCACTGCCAAATGAACCGCTATCTTATCCAGCATATGTTTTACGCAGCAGATGCCCTTCATGATGCAACCCATCACTGGAAACATCCATACAGCCTTATTCACACACATACACTATGGACAATTTTAGCTTACCGAATTTACCTGTACCAGGTTTTTTTCGGACTTGTGGGGTAAACCGGAGCACCCGGAGGAAACCCACGTGAATGCAAGGAGAACATGCAAACTCCACACAGAAACACCAGCCGAGGCTCGAACCAGCGACCTTCTTGCTGTGAGGTAACAGCACTACCTACTGCGCCACTGCCTCGCCCAGGGAATCTGGATAAACAACAAAATAACTCACCTTTCAAAGATCACCTACAGCTTCACTGAGCAATAGTCATGGCAAAAAAAAAGTCTGACACACTTGAGGGTTTTATTGAAACATTCTTGTTGTGTTCTGTTCTTTTTGCAAGCACTGTGAGAAAATGCAGGAGTTTTCGTAATGTGCTTGCCTTGTAAAAAAAATTGCAGCGCATTTTTTTAATGTGTATGCATTAAGGGATTTGCAGCACATATGTTGTCAGACGGATGGAGATCTTTTCTCAAATTGCTGCTAATTTGTGTACTTGCAATTGTTTTCTCAAATTGCAGCATGTTAAGCTCTCGCTTTTTTAAAGAACAAAAAAAGAGTCAAGAGAAAATCTGGGTTCTGTGGAAAAAGCAGTTGCGATATTAATTTGTCCATTTATCAAGTATTATCCCAGACTACAAGCAACACAAGTTACGTATTCAGGTTGTTTTATCAAGTTAAATACGCATAACTTCACTGTAATATACTCTATTAATTTTCAATGTAATTTTCCCCAACACTGCTAGCAAGATGTGCTTAATAATGTGGTCACTGAGTTTAGGATGAAAATATGCATATTACGACGCAACCTTTGACTTTATTTTTGACTGAATCCCTTATTCAGCTAATCTGTCCAAAATAATAGATGTATTCATGAATTTCAATGTTGCTTGTTGCAAAACGACAATTCCTCCATGCCTTGTTTTGGATCTACAATCGTTAATGGAGCAAAAACATACCAAGTAATTGGTAATAATTGCTATAATATACAAGCGACTTTAAAATACGTTTTTTTTTTTTTTTTTTATGAAAAGTATAACATTTATTTATTCATACATTCATCTTCTGCCACTTTTCCGGGGCCGGGTCACGGGGGCAGCAGTCTTAGGAGAGAACCCCAGACTTTCCTATCCCCAGACACTTCCTCCAGCTCCTCCGGGGGGATCCTGAGGCGTTCCCAGGCCAGCCGAGAGACATAGTCCCTCCAGTGCGTCCTGGGTCTTCCCTGAGGCTGCCTCCCGGTGGGACATGCCTGGAACACCTCCCTAGGTAGGCGTCCAGGAGGCATCCGAAACAGATGCCGGAGCCACCTCAGCTGACTTCTCTCGATGTGGAGGAGCAGCGACTCTACTCCGAGCTACTCCCGGGTGTCAGAGCTCCTCACCCTATCCATTAGAGTGCGCCCTGCCACCCTTCGAAGGAAACTCATTTCGGCCGCTTGTATCCGAGATCTTGTCCTTTCGGTCATGATCCAAAGCTCATGACCATAGGTGAGAGTAGGAACGTAGATTGACCGGTAAATCGAGAGCTTTGCCTTACAGCTCAGCTCCTTCTTCACCACAACAGACCGTTTATTTTAACGTTTATTTAACAGTTCAATAATTACAATTAAGGCTTTTGTGATTACCCAAACATGATCCTGTCTACTTTGGGGGCTTCAAAATATTACGTCCAAAAAAAAAAAAAAAAAAAAAAAAGTTTAGAGCTGTAATGAAAAGCTTTTGTAGCATTAAAAGTATCCAAATGAAAATTCTGTTTATTCAAAACTGCACTTATAATATGAAAAGAGATTATCAAAAATACATATTTGTCATATTCAAACAGCTATCCTCCACAGTTCTTCATGTTTTGTTATTCAGCTTGTCTCTCTGAAGAAATACATTGGTGAAACAAAAGAGACATTCAGCTGCAGTAGCAGCTCTCTGTACTGAATCGCACAGCTTCTAACAGCTCCACACTCCCTCTCTCGTCTCTTTGTGTGTTTTTCATACGCTTCAGAGCCCTGTGCCATTGGGAATTTATTTAAGCTTCTTCCCCGACGCCTCCATGTTTGATCATCCAGATGTAGCAAAGCTCAGGGGGAGGGTTTTTTATATGCTTTTTAACAGTCATGCCTGAGTGTCTTCATGTCAAATTTAATGTCTATGAGTGAAAAAAAAACATTGATTTTAAGGAGCGTCTTCAGAAAGTTTAGTAATAATCTCTGTCATAGTCTTGTTGGTCATAGGCCATCATTTTGTTTATGTTTTTCTTCAAATAGGCAGACATCTCATCTGAGTAAGAAACAAGAAGAAGAAGAAATTGATTATATATAAAGGAATGAATGGAAGAGAACATTTTACTACATGATATTACAGCTCAGATATATCATTTACCTGGTGGCAGGACTCCTAAAATTGCTGTGGCCGAGACGTGGCCAAGCTCATTTCGAGCGATGCACTTGTATGTGCCAGAATCTGTTTGACCAGCCTCTTCGATCTGCAGCCAACTGGAAAGTTCATACTTCTGAGGACCACCTCGTGACTACAGGGGGGAAAAAAATGCTGAGGTGATGTCCTGTATCTTAACCTGTATGTTTAAAATACACCTGCTTTATCACATAATGCACCGCAGCCCCAATGATTAAGTAAATATTGATTAACGATAAGTATATATCGTTTTTTTGGGCTTTTCTGTTTTCTGAATATATTGATAAACATCATAATTACATTTTGGAATATCTGATATTCCGATTCTCAAATGTGTATAAGAACATGTATTTTGTTTCAGTAATATTATTTGATCTAAGAGTGATGGGCGCTGCCATGTTAGTCTATGCTGTAGTGCACAGGTGTCAAACTCAGTTCCAAAAGGGCCGCAGCTCTGCACAGTTTAGTTCCAACCCTAATTAAACACACCTGATCAAACTAATTGAGTCCTTCAGGCTTGTTCGAAACCTACAGGTAAGTGTGTTGGAGCAGGGTTGGAACTAAACTGTGCAGGGCTTCAGCCCTCCAGGAATTGAGTTTGACACCCCTGCTGTAGTGGATATTAGAGCTGCTGGATTTACAGCATGTTAATTAATTAACTTTTCCTGAATTTAATGAAAGCAAGTAGCCGTTTAACTGGGAGGAAAGTATAGTAGACGTTCTTGTAACCTAAACAGTGTGTACCTGACGCACATTGTATTATGCACATTGTCCACCTATGTTTAAAAATTGTAATAAATAATATTGCTATAGACATAGTGTGTATTTTACAAACCATAAAGGTTATGTTCTGCTCTTATGTGCATTTAAATGTCTGAAACCTAAAATACACATTACTTGTTTGAAAATAATGGTCATTGACAAGCGATCACCACAGGAACATATATTTGAATGTAGTGGCTGATAAACATGTTGTTCTGAACATTTATATCACACCGGTGATATACAATATATATGATTGTATATTCAAAGGACCAGCCAAGACTGATCACACCAGTGTGACTGTACTCATCAAAGCTTTGGAAAAGTTCATTAACTATCTAATATTGTTCATTTTAGATTCACACAAACATTCAGAACATCTATCCAAATTAGAGATGTCCAGATCACGCAGTTTCAGATTTACAATTTGAATGTTACCTCCCAATCAAGACTAGAATATATATATATATATATATATATATATATATATATATATATATATATATATATATATATATATATATATATATATATATATATATACAGTTGAAGTCAGAATTATTAGCCCCCTTCAATTTTTTCTCTTCTTTTTTTAAATATTTTCCAAAAGATATTTAACAGAGCAAGGATATTTTCACAGTATGTCTGATAATATTTTTTCTTCTGGAGAAAGTCTTATTTGTTTTATTTTAGCTAGAATAAAAGCAGTTTTGAATTTTTTATGTACCATTTCAGGGACAAAATTATTAGCCCCTTTAAGCTATATTTTTTTCTCGATAATCTACAGAACAAACCATTGTTATACAATAACTTGCCTAATTCCCCTAACCTGCCTAGTTAACTTAATTAACTTAGTTAAGCCTTTAAATGTCACTTTAAGCTGTATAGAAGTGTCTTGAAAAATATCTAGTAAAATATTATATACAGTCATCATGGTAAAGATAAAATAAATCAGTTATTAGAAATGAGTTATTAAAATTATTATGTCTAGAAATGTGTTGAAAAAATCTCTTCTCTTCCTTAAACAGAAATTGGGGAAAAAATAAACAAACGGTCTAATAATTGAGGGGGGCAATATATATATTGCCTTGCCTTTCTGTGTTTGACCCTTGCTTTGTTTTGTTTGTTTATTTACGTTGTCTGCTGCCTGCCTTTTGACCATTCGCCTGTTTTATGACCACAACTCTGGATTTGCCTGTGTCTGTTTGCCCCCATGTTGACAATTGCTTGCCTAACCATTCTTGTAATAAACTTGCATTTGGATCCGCACCTCCGTTGTCAGCATCCACATCACATTACAGAATATTTAAACACATCTACAGTTATGTGGTAGCACAGAGTTAGACCTCGTTCTTGACACAGAAACAGCAACACGACATCACGTGCGACATGACATCACTTTGTTGCAGAGACGCTTTTGGTTAAATGCTGGCAAATGTAGAACACAGAAGCAGCTTGAAGCAGAAAGTGTAAGTATGTCTGCAGTCTTGAAGTATTATAAAGTTGATGAGGCCTTATAGTGCTGATGCAAACGTCCTTGATGAGAACAGAACAGAAACAGGCTTAAACCTGATAAGGTAGAAATGTTAGGTTTCATTAAAGAAAACATACATTTCCTTCTGTGAAACTTACTTCTGTGATGACAGTAACCGTACGTTCACACCGAAAGCGGCGAGAGCGTCAAAGTAGCCGGAAGTCATTCATTTTCAGTGACTGCTGGCGGCGATAAGCGGCGAGGAGCAGCACGGCACGTCTTCTCCGATGTGGGCGTCGAGGAGAGTTGAAATCAAGTCAACTTTATGGTAATGAGCTATGACGCGGTTCGGCGGCAAGCAATCAGAATGAAGATTTCCACCGCTTGAGAGGAGTTCAGAGAACACAGACCTGTGAACTTTGGTTCCGATCAAGGGTTTGATGATGCGGTTGCCGGATTTCCAATTATTTACAATGTTTTCTTACACGAACATGCATTAAATAAGTTACTGGCGAGTTAGTGATGTGCATTAATGTTATATATATATATATATATATATATATATATATATATATATATATATATATATATATATATATATATATATTTATCTTTAAAAAAACGGGAATCTCATGCGATGTGACAATACAAAACAGTATTGCTGCTTCAGGATATTTCAGACATATGGACACATATTGGATAAATAGAGCAAAGCCACAGCACACGCAACTTGATCTTCCATTGTTATATGAATTTGATAAGAAGTGTGCAACATTTTCACGCTAGAAACATGTTTTATGCAGGAATGTAACTGACATGCTGCAATGGCTCCTTTAAATACGAGATCAATGTAGCGAGTTTTGACGCTCTCGCCGCCGGAGCTGAAGGCAGACAGCGTTGTCGACAGGGCAGCCAGAGCGACCTTAGACGCTTTTGCTGCTTTCGGTGTGAACGTACGGTAAGAGTGCAGTTCCTAAAAAGCACATTACTGACTTTGCAAACCCTGTGGCACTTACTTACTTACTTACTTTACTTACTTTACTTACTTACTACTTACTTACTTACTTACTTTTGTTTACATGCCTGCAGGGTATTTTGAGTTGAAGTGCTATTTGTCTTTATATTAGATTTTTTTTATATATATTTACTGTTGCACTGAAGTACAAAAGTGAAGATATGATGTTATTTATTACTTGATTGTTCAAGCTACCTCACAAAAGGGCTCTGTTTGTTAACAGAGTTGTTGAATGTTACAATAAGGTGAATTAATTAAAAAATAAGGAACATCCTGGATCTGTTTGTTCGCTCTTCTTTAATCTTTTTTGTATGTATTACAGAAGTATTGGATCATTTACATTGAACTGAAGCCAATTAGTGTCTACTCCAGTAGACCAAGAACTGTGTTTTCAGACAAAATATGACTTGTATTAGGTTTTGCATTTGGATGTGTATTTAGAAATTGTGAAAGTCTAGGCCATTCTTTGTATTGTTTAATACATTGACTCCTAGTGCATTTATTATTTATTTCTGTTATTTTGCATGCAGTTTTAATATTTCACTTTTAACTGTCTGCAAGATTTAATCAGTTTATCTGTCTGGAACCAAGGATCATTTTAAGAAAAAATAAAGTTACCCCAAAATTAGAGCAGAAGCACAAAGTACAGAGCAAAACTAAAAAATCTATGTCATTCTCTAAAAACGCCAGTATCTCTTCTATTATCTGTTTCATACTTTAGAGAAGAAGATTGCAGAATTACACCTTTAATAAACCAACCACTGCATATCAAGAAAGAAGAAGAACCCAATCTCTTGTGAATATGCAAATGACAGTTAGCAGAAGCGAGAGATCACATTTATAAAGTTTCACAAGTGGATTTTTGTTTCACTTCATTTTTATTTGAGTTTTTTGTTTGTTTGTTTGTTTGTTTGTTGTTTTATATCATGAATAAAAGCATGTTTTTGTCATTCACTGCTTTAAACACAAGGATACATGAAAGTTAATAAAAGGTAGGGTGATTTTCATTTTTGGGGGAACTATCCCTTTAACCAAGTCCTCTTTGCAAAGACTTTTTTCAAATGTTTTATGAAACAGTCATTAGCTCTAGACTTTTACAGAATTTGCAGCATCTATAAGTTATTTTTACAAGTAGAATTTAACCATTGCTTATGCAATGAGCCAGATTTGATTGTTCCAGTAAGTGGGTAGCCTTTTTTGTAACAGGATAAACAAGTACTACTGAACATGAACATATTTATCTGCTTATGAATTAGGAAATTGTTGAGCATTTTATCTATCTATCTATCTATCTATCTATCTATCTATCTATCTATCTATCTATCTATCTATCTATCTATCTATCTATCTATCTATATCTATCTATCTATCTATCTATCTATCTATCTATCTATCTATCTATCTATCTATCTATCTATCTATCTATCTATCTATCTGTCTGTCTATCTGTTAGTTTGTTTGTTTGTTTTCAATTTATTTACAAGGGCAATCAACTATGCATAGTCACAGTACATAAATAATTCTTTAAGTGATTATTGGAGTTGGGCTCATCTATATTTATCCATTTTATTTTCAGGTTAGTCCCTTTATTACAGTTTTTCTCAGTCGCTTTGGTGCATTTCTCACTACACTATTTACATTTGCACAACAATATATGCATTTCTCAAAACAATTAGTGCAAACTGCAAAACCTAGCTGATAACCTGCAAAAGCGCGTCACTTGCTCAAAATGGATAGTTCATTCCTCAAAAGCAAGTAATCATGTCAATCAAACTGTCAGTATCGTCAAAATGAAAAGTCCTGACACCATTGTTTATGAACAAGATAGTCAAACGGCTTAGCCATGTTTTCATTATGACACTTTACTCTGTACATTTTTTCAATGCAAAAAAGTCTGATTTTGGTGACACTTCCTGAAAATGCTCAAGACAGCACTATAGACTATTTGCACAGCCATTTAAAACTACAGTAAAGTTAGACATCACTGCATTTAGTGAGTTATCTGAGTACAAGACACTAAATATGTATGTTTCACATTTTTACTGCATTTGCTCTTTGCAATCCTAATTTATTCACAGCATTGTGCAAAAGAATAAATACACCCTTATTTACAACAAACATAAACTCCCTTTAGGTAGAGCTGTGCACAACTGTACACAATATTGCAGTACATATTGGAACTGAGCCTACAACATACACAGGTCTGTAAATCATTCATCAAATTGTTAAATTTTAAAGACATTTTCAGGAAAATAAAGATTTAAATTTGTTTTATAAAATTTGTTTGACAGATTTTGACAACTAGTTCACTATTTTTGTATGCAATGACTCAAGTAATGAAATGAGGACTATTAGTTTTATTTGGAGTGACCATTCAGCATTTACAAGTTTAGTTAATTTTGACTGACATGTCATAAGCAAATGATAATGTTATAAATAGCAGAGAGTTGTATGAAAGCAATTGATGCATGTCTAAAAGCATTTACAATTTGTTGAAAAGAATGAGAAACTGCTACTAGGATGTGCACAAATGACTAATTGTTTTGAGAAATGCATGAACTGTTGTGCGAATGTAAATAGTGTAGTGAGTAATGCACCAAAGCGACAGAAAAACTGTAATCAAGACTCGCCACAGCGGAATGAACCACCAACTTATCCAGCACATTTTACGCAGCAGATTCCCTTCCAGCCACAACGCAACACTGGGAAACATCCACACACTCTTGCACACACTCACATACACTTCAGCCAATTTAGCTTTTTCAATTCACCTTTAGCGCATATGTTTGGACTGTGGGGAAAACTGTAGTGCTTATTAATATATAACGTTTATTTTGTGTCATGTTTACTCATGTTCTTTGGGTAAATCAAAAAGTATGTAACTTACAAATAATAATATTCATATGTCTTTATGGTTTTTGTACGTTTAGAGCAGGGGTTCTTAACCTTTTTTCACTTTAAGGCCCAACTCCTTCTGTGAAAAGAAAATGCTTATTTTAAACCTTTAATTATTATCAAAACATTTATTTTGACTTTTATTATTATTCTCTTTGTAAGGTGAAGCTGACAACAGGGAGTGAGGATCCAAACGCAGGGTTTATTATACAGAGATGGTCAGGCAAGCAACGGTCACAATCAGGACTAAACAGATGTACTGTATGTAGGCAAATCCAGAGTCATAGTCAAATACACAGGCAGATGGTCAAACGGCAGGCAGCAGACAGAAATAAACAAACAAAACAAAGCGAGGGTCAAAAACACAGCAAGACAAAGCAAGGAAAATGCGTCGTAAATGTTCACAAAACTGTTCAACAAATAACAGCCATGAAGTGTGTGTGCGCTTTATTTATAGTCTATGTAATCAGTTCGTAACAATCCTCTAGCTGTGTGTATGCAATCAGTCCTGATCAGAAACTGGTTGTGAGTATGTGTGGTGCATGACAGAAGCTTGTAGTCCGTTAGTCCGATTTGTAGTAGATACGCAGTTAAAGTCAGAATATTTTTAGCAACCTTTGATTTTTTTCCTTTTTTAAATATTTCCCAAATGATGTTTAACAAAGCATGGAAGTTTTCACATTATGTCTAATAATATTTTTTCTTCTGGGGAAAGTCTTAATTGACAAAATTTGGCTAAAATAAAAGCAGTTTTTTATTTTTTAAAGCAGTTTTTAATGTTAAGGACAAAATTATTAGCCACTTTAAGCTAAACTTTTTTGCTAGTCTACAGAACAAACCATTGTTATACAATAACTTGCCTAAATACCCTAACCTGCCTTGTTAACCTAATTTACCTAGTTCAGTTTTTAAATGTCTCTTTAAGCTGTACAGATGTGTCTTGAAAAAATATCTAGTATTATTTAAAGTAAATACTATTTACTGGCATCATGACAAAAATAAAATAAATCAGTTATTAGAAATAAGTTGTTACAATTATTATGTTTAGAAATGTGTTAAAATAATATTCTCTCTGTTAAACAGAAATGGGGTAAAAAAATAAAAATAAACTGGGGTGCTAATAATTCAGGGGGCTAATAATTCTGACTTCAACTGTATAGTCCGTTAGCGATCTGAGACTGCTAGATCGCTCATACTCTTATTTTTCTACAGCATTTTGTGAAAAGTGAATAATATATATATATATATATTATATTATTATTATTATTATTATTATTAGATTTTTATTATTACTCATATCCACTAAAATTAAACAAAGAAATGTAAAATACAGCAACACCACTCTTAATCGGAGAAACGCATCGATCTGAAGACGGTTGGACTTGCAGCTGGATGTTATTGGAGTTTGTGGACAGGAACAGCTGTTCACCACTGAAACACCACCAAGTCTCACTAGATCCTCCTGTACATGTGCGTGTCCGTTATAAAACACTCGCGGGACATTCTTTTGGACAACTACGCAGATATTTTAAAGTGTTCACACAAAAAGAGCACATATAGTTTGAATCAACGGACAGTGCGAGTTGCAGACATGAGGCCCGGTCAGTACCTGGATGAGAGACCAAAATCGGAAAACTAGGTTGCTGCTGGAAGTGGTGTCAGTAAAGCCAGCAGGGGGGCGCTCAACCTGTGGTCTGTGTGGATCCTAATCCCCAAGTATAGTAAAGGGGACTGTATACTGTATTATTATACTATACTATTATTATTATTAACTCTAATCACAGTACCTTTAAATTTGCATGGCGGTTTACTCAAACAATAGAGAATGTAGTCCTAGTTGTGTAGGAAGTTTAAGCCAGAGTGTTGTCTTTATTTAAAATGAGGCTATTTTTGCACGGAGTCTGATGTAATCAATCCGAGATGCCATTATTTTGATTATATTAATATGACATATTTAATAATGAAATCGAATAATTATAGCATAATATTTAAGGTAATTTAAAGCTATCTTGGGGCCCACCTGCAGGATCGCTGAGGCCCACCGGTTGAGAATCACTGATTTAGAGAAAAAGTTTCAAATAGAGATATCAGTTATCATTTTTTAATTTTACAAAGACTTAAAAACTGAGTAGATCGTAGTAAATGTTTTTACAGTGTAGTGACGTTTTGGTCCAAAATGATTTATTAATATCAGTGATGTTCTACATCGCTAAAAGTGCCAAGTACTGTACACACAGCAAATAAAATAACACAGAAATATTCCCATAAAACCTGCTGACTTTATTTACAGCGTATGATCTTATTTGGGGAGGAGGGGGAGGTGGTCTGAAAAGAATACAATGGTTTTAACATGGCCAAAGAAGGGGATGAACAGGCTTTTATGAATGACATGAATATCTGTAGAGTTTATAGAGCTCTGTGTCTGCATAATTCAGAGCTATACATTAGCATTTTTGAAGCACTTTACCTGTACAGATATGTGGGGGTCATCACCAGGTAGAATAACCTCTTTCCCCTCTTTCCTCCACTCCACGAGCGCCATAGGAAATGCAAACACCTCGCAGAGAAACGCTATACTGCTGCCTGTGACATTAACCAGATTATGCGGCGCCACTTTGATGATGGGCTCTTTCCAGAAATAGAGAGAGGAACAGAGAACAGGGTAAGAGGTCATATCAGAGATCACTTTCAGAAACCACTTCCTATGTGAGTAGACTAGAAGGGCTGGTTAAAGGTCATAAATCCCCTCTTTAAAGCCACTGGGAAAATTATAGGGGCCAAGTTCAAAAATCCCAAAGTGCTGGCGGCTTAGAGAGGAAAACACTTCAGCTCCATGAGTGAAAGAATCTAAGAAAGAGGTAAACAAAACAAACCTGACACCTTTCTGCATGAGAATAAAAAATAAATCAATTTTGGTCAGATAAACACTACTGAACATGTTTATTTATATATCAAAAACTGACAGGCAGACAGACAGACAGACAGACAAACAGATTTATCTATTTAACATATATTTAGCTAATGTTTTTTATTGATGGTTAAATTCCCCTGTTAAATTGTGCCAAACTGCATTAATATTATAGTCAGTCATGTGGCTGTTTATGCTGTAAAAATAAAATGAACTTGGCATTGATTCAGACGGACAGATTAATATATTGCAGACAATTTGAACACAAAATAAATGTTTTGTATGGTCAACATCTTTTCCTGTCATTCAAACCTGGGGGCTGTTCCAGAAAGCAGGTTATGTGACATACCCGGGTAAGTTTGAGAGTAAGTAGGTGGATAACCTCAACTTTGGTTCCAAAATCGGAGGTAACTTCTGGGTATGTTAAGTAGCCATAGCAACTTACTCTCTGAAGATAACCTGCTCCGGAGCAGGTTATGTTCAGAGAGTAAGTTGCTATGTTTCAGAGTTTGTCTGTTTCAGAGTTTACTGAGCATTGCGTGCTCTTTTGATGAGAATATTTATGGATGTGGACACACAGATACAAGTTTTTTCGTTGTGAGAGGGTTATAAGTGCATAGTTTTTTTCATAACCAAATTCATAATGTTAATGTATTTAACAAACCTTTTTGAAATCAAATGTGACAAACCGCGGGTCTGCGCTTACCATAAAAAACATTTAGTGCAGCTCTTTTTATTTGCGTCAGGGCATTTTAGGCAACTGTACAATGTGGCAGTATGACCACCTGTACAGTACGCCTGGCACTGAACTGTTTTTTACACTTTTGTACAGTTCCTTGGTCATACATTACTGCGTATCATTACACAGATGATTCAGAGCACGGGATTAGCTTAGTGAACAGTGCGTTGATAAAGAACAACGGAGTGCACAACGGAGCGAGTTCGAATCTCACTTACAGACCTTGTGTTTTTTCTCTTCTTCTGCACCCTCACATTTTTCTGTATAATATTATAAGTGGCAGCTTTGTCTTTTGTAGGAAAATATATCTTTAATTTAAGATGTAGGACGTCGTTCTTACATATACATTCACGCACACACACCTACATTTTTTAATATAATATTTTTTTCAGGGTTTCTAAATGCTAATGTGTGCATTAATTGCAGCCAATTTTAAAGCTCCATCAGTCACTAAAGGACACTGATAATATAAAATTTGTCCAAAGTATAAGTGTGCAGGTACAACTTAATTTTCTATCCTTAATCTTTTGGTGTTTTAACTATTAAACTTATTACTGCTTCCACATACCAGCTCATCACACACCCCACCTCATCACTATGTTGAGGCTAAATGGCTGATTTTCAGGAAGTAATGATTCAAGTGTATAACACAAATATAGTAAAAAAAAAAACTATAAAGCAAATGTTGCTTAACACAATGTTTATTTTTATTATATTTGTATTATAAAATAGAATCATTACTGGGCACTACATTGTTACTTGCTGGAGGACAAAAGATACCCTTTTCTGCCTTATACGATGACACGTACCTGCAGCCTGACCCATAGGAAATCTCAGTGACCCAAGCAGACAAAACAGATGGAAGAGTGCTAAAAAAATATAATTAGTCAAAAAACTATGTTTAATCAAATAGTTTGATCTGTTGATTTCTTCATTTCCTGAAATAAACCGAATGATTTTGTACACTGCTTTATACACACACCTTTCAACGTGTAACATATTTTTCATATACATTTCTCACCTTAAGTTGACAGCTACTTTAGAATTTAAATATGCAGATAAAAGATTTTGTGATCCAAGAGTAATATTCAAATATGGAAAAGTGCAGAAAATTCTTACACTGCTTGTTAGTTGAGGCAGAAGGAACTTCGTCTGCATGCAAAATAAAAAGAACCTAAAGCTATCTGACAACAATCACAACAGTGACAGAGTGTGTGGTTTAAGTCAAAAACTCAACCACTGAAAAGCCTTTATTATAGGACACAGCAGTTAGACAGGCCTCATTCTATTAGCTGCATGTCAGAAAGAATATTCTAGAGTGTTAAATAAAGAGCTCCAGTAATTAAATATTACCTTTTAGGAGAATGTTTCTGTGTTTAATGACTTTGGACAGAGTTCTAGCTCCAGAAAGATTACAATTTCTATAAGCCTTATTAGTCAATACACATATTGTGGCCTTAAGAAATTAATGGCAAGAAAAATAAATGCATGAATGGTTACACAACATACTCAAAAAGGATGTTAAAGAGTAGTTTAATTTATCATTACAATAAAATGGAGGGTGGCATGTGTAATTTAATCAATTAATAAATTTTCTTATTTATTTTTTATTTTCTTATCTATTTCTTATTCTATATTTCTTTCCTTCGTTGAAGCAGATGTGTAATCTCTGTGTTTAAAACCTCCAGCTTCGCCTCTGTAAAGTGCGTTGCCCTTTTTTTCTCACCGTGACTTTCTATGGTGACTCGTGAATTCGGCGATCTACTGAAAATGCCTTCAGGTGTGTGCTGTGCACGCGCATTAACCCGCGGTTATCTTCAGGAGGTTGATTTAACTAACTCTTGTCACCTGTTTTGGAACCAACATACTCGCGGTAAGCAGGTTTTGGGTAAATCAACCGAGAGTTTAGGTTTTAGCATATGGTAAGTTAACCCAGCTTTCTGGAATACCCCCCTGCAACACATTCCAAAGAAACTGATTGGGATACAGATTAGGGCTAGTAATAAGGTATATTGGGTAAATAACGATATGATTTGAAACAGGTGATGTCAACAGGTGATTGTAATTATGATGTGCTACAAATGCAGAATCCAAGAAAGTCCTTTAGGAGCAAAGATGGGCCAAGGAACATTGGTTTGCCAAGAAATACGTGAGAAAATTGTTGAAATGTTAAAAAACAATGTTCCTCGAAGACATTTGGATGTTTCACCTTCAATAGTGCCAAACATAGTTAAATAGTTCAAGGAATCTGGAGGAATTTTAGCGTGAACAACAAGGGCGCAAGCCTACGCTGAATGACTATGATTTCCGATCCCTCAGGCAGCACTGCATCAAGAATAGTCATTCATCTATAAGCGATATCACCACATGGGCTCAGGATTACTTTGGCAAACCTTTGTCAAGTACTAAAATAAAAAAAATTATATTGACAAATGGCAGTTAAAACCGCATTGTGCCAAAAGGAAGCCCTATGTTAAGAGTCCAGAAGTGCTGGCAACTTCTCTGGACCATCACACAGTGGAAACGTGTACTGTGGTCAGAGGAATCAGTATTTCAGGTATTGTTTGGGAAAAAAATTAACACCATGTGCTGAGGACCAAAGGGATCATCTACTGTTACCAGCAACAAGTCCAACGGCCAGGGCATGTTATGGTATTGAGTTGTGTCAGTGCCCTCTGTAAAGGTAACTTGCAGTTTTGTGATGCCACCTTTAATGTTAAAAAGTACATAGAGATTTTGGTGCACAATATGCTGCCTTTTCCAGGGAAGTCCATGCATATTTTAACAAGACAATGCAAAACCACATTCTGCACACAGTGCGAAGTCTAGGCTGCGAAGAAAGCAGATACAGGTACTTGACTGGCCTGCCTGCAGTCCCAACCTGTCTCCAATAGATAATGTGAGGTGCATTTTGCATTGCTTTAACTTGTTTGCAAGAAGAATGGGACAAAATTTACAGCTGAAACACTATCATTTGGTGTCTTCAATCCCTAAACGTCTTTTAAGTGTTGTGAAAAGTAATTGCAACATTACAATGTGGTAAATGCTTTTCTGTTCTAACTTTTTTTTTTTAAAATGTGTTGCAAGAACCAAAATTGTAATATGTGTTTATTTTTATTTTGAAGAGAAATATCATAAGGAACACATTAAATAATGTGCTGTAGTATTGTCTGCAATGAAATAAAAGTAAATCTGTAAATCTCTTTTCTTTTTTTTCTTTTTTTTTGCGTTTTCCATACTGTCTCAACTTTTCCTGATTTGGTGTTGAATACACAAAATTAAATTTAGGAATTGGTTAAATGAACACTTCAATAAACAGCTATTGCATTGCAAAATGTCTAGGCAAAACACTTCTGTTTTATTTCTTTAGAAAATTGAATAAATAAGTAGTTTAATACACCACTGTAACACATATTTTAGATTTATTAAATAAAAAAAAAAAACTAAAACTGTGATTAAATTAAATGTGTGTTGGGAGACAATAATTCTTCTGCATCACATGCAAAGTGAATTTACAAAAGAATCTAAATCGCCATGAGCAAACAAAATTTTTTAATGTTTATACTGCTGGTTAAAAATATGATCTAGGCTAGTTTGCATAATTCATACCTGTCCTGCACGGCCCGTCGCTCACATTAAGTCCAGGCTTTAAATAAGCCGCTTCTTTATACTTGCAGACATTCATGTAAGTCTGTCCGTCTGATCCACACAGAGGATCCTGAGACAAACACACACACTGAGCTTCAGGCTCCTCCACATCCGACCTGTCCGGTCTGCACTCCATGTCCTCTCCACACAGCCCATAATAGACGCTTCTCTGGCCGGGATCACACGTCTGGCCCTCCAGGTTTGCGCACTGAGAGCAGCAGCCGCAAACATCCATCACCAGCCCGGCTCTACAGCCCAGCGCGGGCGGACAGAGCTCCGGCACACACTCCTCACACTCCCGCGTCCTGTTGCCCTCCTCAAACTCATCATCCTCCGTGCCTTTATAATAGTCAAAGGTGGCCAAGTCCTCGTCCATGTAATCATCTTTGTAATTGGGAAAAGCCTCTCCGGGTCTGACGCTCAGAGCTAAAAATGCCAACATAACTATGTGGAATAACATCTTGAGAACTTATGTCTGGTGGTCGAGTTCTGCTTGCTAAAAATGCAACTTTTTTTTTCCTCTCCAAAGCTGCGTCTTCATGCCCGACTGTCGTTCTCCGTGTGTCTTCAAAACCATCTGTGGCTGGACGAAAATAAACACAGCTTTCCTTCCCCCCACTGCCGCGATCTTATACTGCTTCGTCCTGGATCCCAGAGGGACAGGGTAAAAAAATAATAATAATGGTGAATTTTTGTGGTGTGTTAGAAGTTTAAGAAATGTTATATATTAAGTTTATTTGCATTTGGAGAATGCTGACAACCACAAGATGGCGGTATATCTCTAAACTTCAAAATTAAATCTATTTGTGAATGGGAAAAATGGGGAAAATCTCTCTCTCCCTTCTCTCAAAATTTTAAATTGCTCTCAAATACTTCTCAGAAGTTTTATTTGATGTGCAGGATATGTTAAAAACAGGTGGTCTTCATGTTACTGGACTTTCACATAAATAAGTTACATCTTAATAACAAAAAAAGTGTTTTGTTTAATATAATACAATTTATTTATTTATTTATTTATTTATTTATTTATTTATTTATTTGTTTGTTTGTTTGTTTGTTTATGTTGTCCCCATGAGGAAAACAGCTCACACATCTTTATTAAAATTTTATTTAAATTATTTTTAATCTTCAATTAAGTATTTGTGTATGTTGCAAACAACATGACATAATGACGACTACTTACTAAACGTTTTTAATCAATCAACGCCAAGCTCAAAGCATAGTTTCAAAGTTGTAACAAAGTCCCCCTAGAACAATGGTTCCCAAACTGGGGGTCTGGATCCCCTGGGGGGTCGCAGGGCAATGATGAGGGGTCGCATGTTGAATAAATTAATTAATTTATTTATTTATCTATTTATTTATTTATTTATTTGTTTGTTTGTTTGTTTGTTTATGTTGTTCCCATGAGGAAAACAGCTCACACATCTTTATTAAAATTTTATTAAAATAATTTTTAATCTTCAATTAAGTATTTGTGTATGTTGCAAACAACATGATATAATGACAACTACTTACTAAACATTTTTAATCAAAGCATAGGTTCAAGGTTGTAACAAAGCCCCCCTAGAACAACGGTTCCCAAACTGGGGGTCTGGACCCCCTGGGGGGTTGCAGGGCAATGATGAGGGGTCGCATGTTGATTTCCAAAACTCATTCATTTATTTTCTTTTCGGCTTAGTCCCTTTATCAACCTGGGGTCGCCACAGCTGAATGAACCGCCAACTTCCAGCACATGATTTACGCAGCGGATGCCCTTCTAGCCGCAACCCATCACTGGGAACATCTATTCACACACACTCATACACTACGGTCAATTTTAGGATACCCTATTTACCTGTACCACGTCTTTTATCAAACTTAAAATTATCATATTTTATTCACCCACGCGAGCACCTGTGGAAAACCTACACAAACTTCACACAGAAAATGCCCCAGCCAAGGCTCAAACCAGCAACCTTTTTGCTGTAAAACGAACATGCTCACGCCACCGCGTCACATTCCAAAATTCTAATACATTTTATTAAACTCTTAGAATTACCATATTTTATTCATAACCCACAAAAGATAGTTAATAGTTACATCAAAGAAACAACAACATACAAATAAAAATGTATCAGCCTTGATATAAATAAAAATGCATCAGTGTTTAGAGTAGCCACACAACAATAGTGTCAGCTGCAGCAGATTAATTTCATGGGGCCAGGTTAAACTTTCTGACGATCATTATGGCACTCTAATACATTAAAATATGATCATTGAGGTTAATATTAAATTAAATTAATAAATGTCTAAATGTTTACGGTTGGGGTGAAGCAGTAAAGAAGGTCACTGGTTCGAGCCTCAGCTCAGTTGGCGTTTCTGTGTGGAGTTTTCATGTTCTCCCTGCGTTCGCGTGGGTTTCCTCCGGGTGCTCCGGTTTCCCCCACAGTCCAAAGACATGTGGTACAGGTGAATTGGGTTAGCTAAATTGTCCGTAGTGTGTGTGTGTGAATGTGTGTTTGGATGTTTCCCAGAAATGGGTTGTGGCCGGAAGGGCATCTGCTGCGTAAAAACTTGCTGGATAAGTTGGCGGTTCATTCTGCTGTGGTGACCCCGGATTAATAAAGGGGACTAAGCTGACAAGAAAATGAATAAATGAATGAATGTCTATGGTTATTAGAATGGTGCATTTTTGTGTTGTTAATATGCTTGTGTTTATAAAGGCCTATGGTTGTGTGTGCAACGTTTGTATATTAACCACATTCGAGAAAAATGGGAGTCGTGAGTCACTGACATTGTTATGTTGGGGGTTGCGGGCTGAAAAGTTTGGGACACAATACAATAAAAACATAAACTTCTTGATGCTTTTTGATTTGTTCTCATCAGAAGATCCCGAGTAGCCTATTAAAAACAGATGAGCTAATTGTTTCTTCGTGGTGGGCAGCTCTGGCCCTCAAGGTTCGCTTTCCTGCAGAGTTTAAACACAACCCTAATCAAACACACTTGAAAGTCTAACTAAAGACTTCATTACTCAAAAATTAGATGCAGGTGTGTTCTATCATGAAGATGAAGATAAACTCTGGGTCTCAAAGGCTGGAAACCAGTTCTATCAGGATCTGTGATGCTGGGATTGGAAATTGGCAATAAAGGGGTCCTATTATGCTCATTTCAGTCTTTCTTTTGTTCAGTTGGTCTACTTAAACATTCTCATGCTTTTTTTCACATTATTTAAATGATTACAGTACCTTTTTCCCTTCCTGGCACAAACAACTCAGTTAGCTCTGGGTTTGAATAAGTCCTTTATTCTAAAAATTAAATATACTGTGATTGGTTAACTGCCCCAATGCATTGTGATTGGTGAATCGCTTACAAGTTGTGTCAGTACTGCCACACCCCCTTGCCCAGGCAGCAAGTTCCATCTGTTCATGGAGGCTGGCACTGAGCCAGAGAGACGAGCACCTTACTTGTCAGAGATTAAAACTTATTAGTAACATTTGAATACAGGTGCTAGCAAAACAAACACTTATATAACATTTAACATTTATAATTTGTAAAATACACATTGATGACTTTAAAGATGGCAGTTATAATCTGGCGATGTGTGTTAAAAACATTGCTTAAGTTACTAGGTTTACTTTTTTTTTCTCTCCAACAGCCTCTTACTTTCATGTCGCCACTAGCTTGCTTGGTTAGGACTTGTGGAGCTGCGCATCGATGGATTTACTCTTTACTGTTTGGACTTTTAGCAATGAAATTCGAACCACACTGAACTAAACTGAACTTCAACTCTTAAAAACTGGACTGACACATTTTTAATTTACAAGAACGTCTATGTTAAGCTGCTTTGACACAATCTACATTGTAAAAGCGCTATAGAAATAAACATGAATTGAATTGAATGTATTTTGTGAGAAGCTGATGAGTTTACATGTAAATCCAGCAGCTCTAATCTCTCCACTGCAGTGCTGCAGTCATCAGCCATCATAGATCAGCTTATATTATCTTTAAGTTTTTTTAAACAGTAATGTATGTGCTCATACACATATTTGAGAATCAACTTTTGTAAGCTGTTTGGACAGAACTGTGTGTATGTATAGTGTTTCCACTGTCATATTGAAGTTATAAAAACACAAGTCTATTTTTTATTTATTGATGATTAAATAGTATCAAAATCTCTGTGATTTTGAGGCTCACCACAATGTGATATAGGAGTGCGGTTGTAGTAAATGTGCATATGTGTGTTTGTAATTCAAACTGCATTTTTGTGTGGCTCATCATGTCAGAAAGGCTTAAATAGTGTCCGACGCAAATACATCAAATAAACTTACTTGGTATTTTTGACTTGTGACCTTATTTCAGCTTCATCCATGTCTATCTCTATCACTGACTGCTGTTTATCTGATGTAACACATGAGTCACGCACGTTAGAGTGGTTTGTGGGGACAAGCAGCTCATTTGAATTTAAAGCCACTGGCTACAAAAACAGCTGCATTGCCCTCAGACACCAAAATGGCCAGATTATACAAAATATAATATCTGATGGGTATTTTGAGCTGAAAATTTATAGACACATTCTGAAGACATCAAAGTCTTATCTTACATCTTGTAAAAGAGGTAAAATAGGTGCCCTTTAATGTTGTGTTGTTCCTCCCCTACCACTTGAATTTCCATAGGCAGGGTTTGGACCACTTTGTGACATCATTAATCCTGGAAAACAAATCTTGCAGTCCAAATGAGCTGTTTGTTTTTATTCTTGTTCTTTTTTTAAGTAAATATCTCCCCTTGGACTTTAATAATGTTTTACCTAGTAAAAGTTTTTAAAACCCAAACATAAACGCAACACACTGACTACAATAAAAACGAAGTGAAAATGCATATTAGGACCTCTTTAACAAAAAGTTGACCTAATTTGACCTAATAAAGTGGCCAGTGATTGTATGGCCCACAGTGTTGTAGAGTTCCAAAACACAAAATACCTGAACCAGCTAAAATCTTTAAACTCACTAGAAACAACTATGAAAGATTACTGGAGCCAAAATGGATGTGATACTCAATTTAACTTAACATTGACATAATAAATAATTGAAGTTAGAATTATTGGCCCCCCTTTGATTTTTCTCTTTTTAAATATCTCCCAAATGATGTTTAACAGAACAAGGACATCTTGACTGTATGTCTCATAATATTTTTTCTTCTGGAGAAAGTCTTATTTGTTTTATTTCAGCTAGAATAAAAGCAGTTTTAACATTAAAAAAAAAAAAGAAAAAACATTTTAAGGTCAATATTATTAGGCCCTTTAAGCAATATTGGTTTTGGATTGTTTACAGAGCAAACTATTGTTAATTACCCTAACCTGCCTAGTTAATCTAATTATCCTAGTTAAGCCTTTTAATGTCACTTTAAGCTGAGTTCTAGTGTCTTGAAAAATATCTAGTAAAATATTATTGACTGTCATCATGGCAAAGATCAAATAAATCAGTTATTAGAAATGAGCTATTAAAACTATTGTTTAGAAATGTGTTGGAAAAAAATCTCTCCGTTAAACAGAAATTGGGGGAAAAAAAATAAACAGGAGTGCTAATAATTCTGA